ACACACACACACACACACACACACACACACACACACACACACACACGCGCACACACACGCGCACGCACACAAATGCAGGACACACATATACAAGCCGTTAGTCGTCGCCGACACGTAGTGAGGTATTCAGCTGTGTAACGATGAACTGGTACTGACATGGCAGTGGACTCCTCAGCGTGGTGACCTGGTGGACGCACCACTGCGAAGCCATTCTAGTGTGGAAACAGACACAGAGTGAAGGACGGGTCAGACGCTGTGTCACGTTTGTCAAGCAGAAGTGCACTTGTGAGTGTTTCCCTGCGCGTTACCTTCAGCTCCCCCGCCGCCACTCTGAAGGCCAGCTCGATGACGGAGCCGACCGCCATGCGGACCGCCGCCGACGAGTGCATCTCGTTCCACACGGTGTCACTGTCCACCTGCCGGGGACACGCAGAGATCAGACCGGAGCTAAGACACTGACACGCAGACACATGAGACAGAGGTGGGCCGAGAGAGGCGAGTAGAGAGATAGCCTCACCCCAATTCCTCCACAGGGAAGAACAGCGTACATCTTCTGGCTGATTGGACCTGGAACAAAACAGAGTACAGGTTACTTACAGGTCTTGTGGTGTGTATTGATGTGTTCACACACACGCGCAGTGCCATTACATAAAAGTGGAAGACACGAACAGATGCAACAATTACCGCAGAAACGTGGAATTCAACTGGCGCGTGGAATTTGAATAATGCTCTGATACGGTGAATGCAGCAACTCCGGATGATGTTATGAACCCAGAAAGGACGGTGTTTGGTTTCCCAACATATCTGGGACTTCCACTTATTTAGGAAATGGTTACCCGTCTCGCGGTCAAAGTAGCACGAGTAACACAAGGCGAGAATTTGCTCGGTGTTTGGCGTGAATGCAGCATAAGGCGGGATGCATTACAGAGAAGCAGAATTACAGATTTAGCCTCAAGCTAAACAGCCGGTCACATCAGGGGTTAAGTGCCTCTTTATGCTGGGGGGGGCTAAACAATGTAGAAGGGTTTTATATCATAAATACAGTATACATGTGTCACAGCTACATACTATATAGGGATATAGGTCACTCAGATAGACAGACAGACAGACAGACAGACAGGTACCCAGCAGCTTCTTGTGGTCCAGTTTGTGTCGATTCAGCGGACTGGTTCCGTACAGCAGAGTGTGGAACTCTGAATGGACGGACTGGATCTCATCCAGAGACGCTTTACGCCCCCGAATCCTCTGCTCACACACACACACACACACACACACACACACACACACACACACACAAAGAGAGTTTGAGTAAGGAGTCTGCACATTTTTATTTCCCTATAAGACAAAATAAATGGATATTTGGCAACTACTAGAATCAACTATTGTAAAGCACAATACAGACACCACGTGTTAAGTGTGATGGTGATGATGATGAGGAGATCAGCTGTGCTAACTACCATGAAGGCTTTAAAGTCGACTCCTGGTAGGCGAATGTTAGAAGCATATTGTAGTGCATGCTGGGATAGCCTGCACCAAAACCATGACCTCTCGGCATTGTGGGCATAGCTCTGCTGTGTGTACAAAGGTCCTGATTGTGTGCGTGTGTGTGTGCGTGTACCTCACAGCGGCCCAGCAGGCCCGTCTCCTGCAGTCGGGACCAGATACTTTGCACTCTCCCAGCATGCTCTGGGTGGATGTGAGCGTTGCCACACACACACTGATGCTTCAACATCAGACTGTCATACACCAGCCCTGGAGAAGGAGAGAGAGTATTCTCAAATAAAAGATACAGAACAATACTCCAATACCTGTACAAATGACAGCTGGGATCAATTGAATACTGGGTAAAAAAAAGAAAAAGAAAGAGGAATAAAGAAATAAACAGCAAAGTAAAAGCAACATATAACAACATACAGTTTTTTTATTTACTTTGTGTGTGTTGACTTTGAGAGCCTCTGTGTTGCATGTCTTGTTCGTACTTGACAATGTGCTGTATATGAGTCTCCTGAGTGATGATACTACGTATATTAATATTCTCACCTTTTTTCATTGTTTGTGCACACATTGTAAAGCGTCAATATTGTATAACCTTTTAAATGTAATCTTATATTCAGTTTTTAGGTTTATTTTGTAACATCTTCTTCTTGGGACTACAGATGAAAAATAGCCTTTTGGCTAACTCTGGCGCATTTACAGCAATGTTTTTACTAATGTGCACTGTCCCTCATCAAATAAACCAATAAATAAAACAACATACAGTTAATGGTTGGCATCATAAATTCACCAGTACAAAAACAAATGTGTTAACGGTCCTTCTCCGTGTATTTTGTAGTGACAAATAAGCACCACAAGATGTCAGCAGCTACAAGTGTAACATGTGTGAGACATGCGGGACACATTTACCACAATGCTAATATAAAAGGCCTCATCTGAATCCACTATTGACATGACGAGCTAATGTTGGGAGCGTTCTGAGGATGTAGTCATTCAAAAGGATCTCATCACTAGGAGCTTTCCTAAATTACACTAAAAGTTTCTCACTTAGAGTTTCCTTTTAAGACCTTTTATAAAAGCTAAGGAACTGAGAGAACTCTTCAGCTAAGAGAACGGCTCTATTGCTATCGACGGCGCCATGTTTATTCAATCATCATCTCTCTGCCGTTATTGGATTGTTTGGACTTCTTTAGTGGAGCTGATTGGATCTTCGTTAACTCGTCTACTGTTAGCGATAAGAGGCTTTATGAATTACTCAAAAGAACAAACACGTATTCTAAGGAGCTTCTCCAAACTCGGCAGGTTAGAGGCTGCTTTTAACCTGCGATGTTTGCTTGATAAAATGCCTCCCAAATACTTAAAGCCACAGAACAAACGAAGATGAATAGTCATAAATGATGGAGCTTGTGTTCCCTGAACTCTTGGGTGACTGATAAAAGAGAAATACTGGCTTTGTACTGACAGCAAACAGCAGCAGCATTAATGCAGCAGATCGGGGATTTCACACTTGAACGTGATCCACGATACTCATAAACCAGGAAATTAGCTACAATAGACAAAACAGATACTTAAGAACTGATGCCATTTCAATCATTTCACTTCAGTTGATTTTTCAATGTGAATTTTGTCATCGGATGCACCAGTTTAAAGCTCATACTTCAAAGCGACCCGCCGGATCGGAGAGTAGTCAAAGGAGCGGCTGTTAACCGGTGGATGAACAGTATTCCATTCCCTTTAATGTTTTCACAATAAAAGTCCAATGTTATTGTTGCCGCTCCCTGCAGTATAAGTAGACTTGTTCTATTGAAGAATAGCTGCTTCCTAAGAATTCTTCAAAATAAAAGTCCCCCCCCCCCCGGATTTTGGTACTTTAGGCTTTTATGCTAAAATGCTGATTGCTCTCCTCAGAGTTAGTCATTAGAGTTAATGCGTCCTGACGTAATCGGATGGGAGAAGTCGCATTGAAAAGTCAAGTGTGTAACACGACAGAGAGCCGGCAGCCCCCCCCCCCCACGTTGCTAGGCAACAGCTGCGGTGTCTTTCAGTGGGCGGTCTGACACATCTGACGCTACAAAAACTCTCCGTCTGGTGACGACAACCAGACGTGCACACAGAAAGAAACTGACCGGTGGTGAAGAGGTGTTTGATGGGATTGACGGTGGCCGCGGGGGAGGACTGCTCTCTTCCCAGAGGTCTGTGGGGCAACAGGGACTGGAACACGCCCAGGTGCTGCAAGGCCTGATGGGAAAGAGAGAGGAGAGAAAGTTCTGATTCATAGAGATCGGCGTGTGTATGTGTGTGTGTCATGCTTAACACCCCCCCCCTCATCACACACACACTGAAATTACTATAATTCTATACAAGTGCATCAGTGCACGAATACAGGCTAAAACTCAGGATTGAAGTATTGACTGATTTAATAGAAAATCAATGGAGCATTGCAACGACAACACTTTTCACTATTACATTCGTGTTCAGCTTTTCCTGAAACTCGGACCGACCGTCTGTGAAACTTCACCGATGATCGACAACCTCCACGGAGTGATTCTGAGGTCGGTCCAAGCACTGCAGACGCACGCACACACACACACACACACGCGTCTTCTGTAGCGTCTATATATAGGGAGTGTTGCTGTGCTCCCTGCTGCGAACTGGGTGACTCATCATGTGTGGGTGGACACTAAAACACACACACACACACACACACACACAGACAGACACGTCAAGATATACAGACGTACAGAAAGACACACAGCAACGGGTCCAGTGGTTGAGTCACCAGGCTGGTGATGTCACTGCAGCGTCAGCAATCGTGTGTGTGTGTGTGTGTGTGTGTCTCTGCTCAAGCTTGACTGACCGTATGTACATGTCACAAAATCCTACCCTTTTCTCTGTTTCTGTAAAATGTCAAAGCTTTCTGTGGATGACTCATCCTGTACTTGTGTGCTTATGGAGAGAGGACATTTTTTTAAATTGAATTTAAGATCTTGGACTGATCCATTCATCAGTGGACCAAACTTGTCTTAGGAGTCAGTCTGTTAACGGATTGTATATATAATTACTTTGAAGCAATTTTGAGTTTGAACACTTCCCAATTATGTTGACAACATACTGTTTGACTTGAATTATAGGATAATATAACTCTTTATATTGATATGGTATTGTATGTTTAAAACCTCTTCTCATTCCTGCATAATTTGCCTAAAACACCTATCAACCGCGTACCCAAAGTAAACTGACAGCTCTTATTGAACCATTGGGAGTACATGCATGGTTTTAGTCTTTATTGAACGGCAACACTCTGAAGTTTCTTCACAATCAGTCAGAATCACCGTAAGTGCTACTAGCATTGAGCTAATGCGTTTTCAGCACAGTGAAAGAGGAGCATTTTACTTGCACCTAGATTTGTTTTGGCCAACAGATGGCAGCAGCTACCTATGGCTGGGACTTACAGTCTTGAAAAGACTCCGTCGACAGCCAACAGTCATGACACCTAGTATAAGTTAAAATTTGGTAACAATACGACAGAAAATTAATATTTTACGCAAGGTTTACTAAGAGTGCTGCCACGTAAAGACGCATTTGGAGGCTTGCGTCACCACATCAAAATGCATATACTACGATAAACTACACTTCTGAAATTCAAACTATAGTTCATTTATGTCAATGTATGGTTAACTATATCATATTTAACCATTATCAACTTTCACAGATTCTTGAAAATTCTCATGAACCAGACTTTAGTCTTCATACTCTGTCCCAGGAACTTGACTCATGGTTTCCAGTTCAGGTTAGAAAACTTTCCCAGCATTCAATCTGATAAATCTGCATATCCTTGGCTTCGTAATTTCATTGGCTATATGGAGCCTGAGTTTGAACTGGATCTGTTGCGATTGGCTCGAGCTATACCCAAAGAAGTGAGGCGAGCATTGTCTTTCAAAGCGGACTCTCGTTGGCTGTTCCAGACTGTGGCCGGGCTATAGAAGCTCCTATTGGGTCAAATGAGGTGTCAATCTAACCGGCGGAATGTAGGCTCCATTTTGCGATGAAAATCTCCGCTCTGTTGACACGGAACGTGAAGTTATGCCCGAAATATGATCGCGAGTTATCATATCTGCTGGCTAATTTGAAATGATGCAACAACCCCCTGTGGGTCTTTATGGACGTACTAATGTGTTTTGGACTAAATCTTTTACTGGATTCGATCGAGTGGACTCTTAGCCACCTAGCAAGACCGTTTTTGCTGGACTAGCATGCACGAGGGGGACGTTATGAATCATAATCGGTGAGTCACGGCGATATTTTATCGGCTATTTTTGGAGTGCTTGTTTGACAGAGACGTTAACTGTACCTGCTGTTGTTATTGTATCTTGAAATGGTTTGCATAAATCGAATTACAAGAACCGTAGTTTTCTAATGAGATATCACATTAATACTCATTGTTACAGGGCAGTTGTGTGCATAACACAAATATGCAGTTATCACTCTGACGGCCCACGAGCGGGCTGTCAGAGTGAGAAGACGATAATGGTACAATATCAACATGAAGGTCTAAAATGATTTGACCCCCTCCCGTTGCAGTCATCAGTCACTTTGCTGTGGCCGCGGGCACATATCTTTTTTTTCCACCTAATTGCGAGAGAGAACATTCAGTTCCTCCCGGGGTGGAATTATATATTATTATGCCTTCTGTTTATCGTAATGACTCACCAGGGGCAGATGCAGACGTGAAATATAATGCTTTTCAAAACGTACACATTCACTGGGCAAAATAAGAGCAGTGCTTCAACTTGGGTTACACAACGTTTCCACTATTTTTCATATTTTATTTCCCTAATTTATGTGCACTTTCAGCTCAGTGTGAGAGTCTTGACCACGTTTCGGAGTCTTTAACTGCTTTATTTTTCTCTCCTCTCCTCTGCTCTCTGTGTTTCATCGTGGGCGGGGCTTTTTGCGGAGCGGGGACGGAGCTCAAACACTCAAATAAAAACGTGCATGCAGGCCGAAATTCGATTTGTTCAGGTGCTCCGTCGGGGAGATACGGTACCTTAAACCAGGTAAGAGAAGAAGAGCTATGAGTAAGGAAAAAGTCTGCTAGCCGTTAGGCTAATTTATGCAGTGTTAAATGCCAGAGGCTTCAGCTAATACTGCTCAACGAGCAACCCAGAATATACAGTATATATTCTCCTATTCTGGCATTTCAAGGAGACATGGTCTGGGTAGCAGGAGTCAGAACAGTGGAAATGTGAAATGATCACCTGATTTAAATGGCTGAAGAGGACGGAACAAATAGGAGGAGTAGATCATAAATCCTCCACTGGCAACAGATTTGAGAAGGTCGATATGCTGTATAGTTACAGTAATAACTTGTGTTGTTCATTCTTTTGGTTAGATCAAAAGGGCCTCAGCAGTCCACACTCCAACTGCACACAATGTGTTGTTTCTCTGAAGAAGGAGCACAACAAGAGAAAAAAAAAAATACAAAACTAGAGTGACACGCAAACGCACTCAGGACTTTTGCGTGTGAAAAAATCGAGGGCGAAAACGCACCCGGAGCCATCTCGGGTTTGGACTGAGGGACTGTAACAAGGCCGGCCGTCAGCTGCGATGAGTAAGATATCTAAAACACGGCAACATCTGCAGCGGAGCAAACACAGTGAGGCTGAAAACAGCAGGAGGTCGGGCCGATGATGCGTTTGTGTGACTCATCCCTCTGTGGGATGAAGATTCTGCGCAACCAAAAGGCCTCGAGCTTAAGACTGACCCGAGAACCTGACGATGCCCCCGCATTGCTATCAGAAGAGCTCAAGTAACCCTTCGTCGATCCGTCCCATCATGTTCTAAACGTGTTCGTTTCAACCGATGTCAAAGTGGCCGTTGAGGGACGCAAAAAAAGTGGATATTGTTACAAACGAACAACACTTAGGTTGGTATTGTTTTGCAGTCTAACTACTAAGACTCGGAGAGCCAGATCCTGGACGTATCAACCATTTACCCACTACTTCTAGCCAGCTAGGTAAAAAAATATTCATTACAAGCGTTTCAATTATTCATCCATTACTTTATCTAACTATTTCAACCATTTATTACTATATTATTATTATATTATCCTCGCCTCACTAGCATCACACCAGCCTCTACAGAGCAAAGCATTGCAAGCACACAAACCTGCGTGTAGCTACCCCTCTCCTCTTCGTCGCCCTCCCTCAGCTGGATGATGTCGTCGTCTTCTTCCTCTTCATCCAGCTCGCTCTCTGTGCTCTCCCCTTTCACGTGCACACTCCCATGCTCTTCCTCACTCTTCACGTGCACACCGAGCCGCTCGGAGGAGGGTGTGCTGTCGTCTGACCCCTCCTTCTGAAGCCTGATTGGTCAGAGTGACAGGTACGGTAACATACAGTACATAGAAATAAAGACACTTGCTCAGTCATTGATGCTGACTGCTGTCAAAAATGCTACACCTGTGTAGGCTCGCCCCTTCGTCGTCCTCCTGCATGTCATTGGTCTCTGTTAGCTCCTCCTCAGTCTCCTCCGGGTGAGTGGGCGGAGGCCTAGGAAGCTCCGCCACTTTCGATAGAATCTATACACACACACACACACAAGGTGATGTTAGTGAGTGAGTGTGCTCGTGTGTGAAAGTTTTTTTTGTTTGTTTTTTAACCTTGTAGTGTTTCTCCAGGAAGTGCTGGTGTTGCTGCTGGACCACCAGCTGCTGCAGGGCCTGGGGGGACTGGGGCAGAGGTGCACTCTGGGTCCGAGCCAACGGCCGGTGGCGAGGCAACTTGTTGACCGCCCGCATGCTGCTGGACACGCCTCTCTCTGCCGTAACCAGCGGCGACTGGCTGTACATGGGGACTAAGTAGGCGGAAGGGTCATAGCAGACAGACAATGAGTTAAGGGTGGACACTAACCTGGATGTTAGCATGCACGTAAGTGTACTTGTGTGAGTGTGTGTGTGTGTGTAGGTACCAGCTAGCATAGCAGTCTGTTGTCTGGCCTGCTCCAGCAGTAGTACATGCTGCAATAACGAGGAATGGGCAGAATGAGAGCTGGGGGGCGCTGTCTCTACCTCATGCCCCACCCCTGCAAAGAAACATTAATAAGTCATGACTCGCTCCAAAAAATAGAATCAACTTCGAAAACTAAATGTTTCTCCATGTGAATAAATCATATTGAACGACACATACATATTTATATACAGTGGCTACAATGTATATTGCTGAAACATAATAATTAAAGTGTAATAACTTATAATTATGAGCTATGGTAAAGCTTACCTGCGGGTAGGGAGGATGTGGAGAGAAACTTCCCTGTTAGAGCTCCGCCCCCTCGCAGCGATAGGATGGCTTGACGCTCAGCCTCTTGCTGGTTGGACAGTGCCTGGGAGGTCTGGGGGGGGCATTACCATGGTTACCACACAGACAAGTTAAAGCAGCCACCACTCAACCACGAGAGTTGATCAAAATGAACAGCCATCATTTCAGCCTGTTTTTCTTTTTTTTTACTTCTGGGTGAAATACTATTTAAGACAGTGTTATAAATCTGCCTCCTTAAGCATTGAAAACTGCATCTGCAATGGTAACTAACTAGTGAACGGTCAACTGTGCAGTATTTCTGTCTTGTCCTGCACACTGAGCCCCAGAGAGAACAGAAGCAGCAACCCTACATTTAGTCTACTGTGAAGATAACATTACTAATCGTCTCATTCTCTACAGGATGCTGGTGTTACATATATTCAGTATGTGTTTTTGTGCGCCTCTGTGTTTTTTGGAGTGCGTATGTGCTGCGTTGACCCACCGTGATGTGTGAGTTGGCAGGGAGGCCCAGGGAAATGTTCGGCAAGGAGGGCGAGGTGTAAAGATTCAGAGGACTCAATGTCCCATCAGCCCCCAGCGTCTGATGGAGAGATCTCAGCTGCAGACAGACAGACAGACACGTCAGCAGACTGGTTAGTTGCAGAGTCTTGCTCCGTGGAGTCTCAGCGGACGATGAGGGGTTGGTCTGATGGTTATTCACTGTAGATTCACTGTAGATTCTTCCAAGTTGCTATGGTAACCATTGTTTTTAACATCTATCGTAAGCATCGACGAACAGAATCTCTCTTTCAAACCAAGTCTGTTCACTCTCTGGATCCTGTTTCTAGTGCTTCTTTCCTGGGCTTGGCTGTTTCAATGCATATTTAATAACTCAATAATATTCACAGGGCTCGAAAGCAACAGTTGCCAGGTCGCCATTGGCCACCATTTTGAGAAATTAGAAACCAATTTTTAACTTTTTAACTGTATAAAAAAAATAAAATAAACAGCAAAAATAAAAATACATTAGTGCTGGGCAACGATTAAAATATTTAATCGCGATTAATCGCATGGATTTTTTGCGATTAATCGCAATTAATCGCATTGTTATGGCAAAGTTCAATAATTAATTAAAAAGTAGTGTATTGCGCACTTTTATTTTAAAAGTACTGCTATATGAACAAAAGGGCAATAACATTTGGTTCACGAGATGCAGGTAGCATGTTTTATACTTAATGTGAATATAATCCATACTTTGTTGGCATCTTATTCTGAAAACCGGATGTTCGTCTGAAGAAACCGAATGTTGTCTCACGTTAATGTTTCCGCTAACTTTCAAAGTCCTTCGCTCGCTCCCGATCTGTGCCGTTTAAATGCGTTTACTGTGAATTTCAGCATATAGGTGCACTAAAATGTAAGTGTCTGCTGAGTTGACCACGGAGATCTGAGTGTCTGCTGACTTTACCGCAACGATGTCCAGTAGTCTCCAGGGAGAGCAACAGCTGGTGCAGCTTCTCTCTTTATTTCTGCCCCCCCTCGACCAGAAGTGGAAGTCGCCTTTTCTCTACGGCAACCCTGAAGGGACATCATATCTCCAATACAAAACGATAAACATGAGACAGTCTGACTATAGGATGTTTGCTGGCTTTTATCCCACTGTTCTTATCGTCCTCTTGTTGTTATTTATATGTATTGTCTCTTGTCTTTCAATAAAAAATAAAAAAATTATAATAAATTTAAAAAATGCGTTAACGCGCGATAAAATAATTGTCGGCGTTAATTAATGAATGTGTTAACGCAAAATTAACGCGTTAACTTGCCCAGCACTAAAATAAATATTTAGTATTTGTTACTAAATATTAGTGATATTTAAATATTGCTGTCACAGAACCGGAACCAAACAACGCTGACATTGCGCTGGTGCCTTTACTTACGTGCACACAGGAGCATTTTAAACAAATAGAAAGATAGAAGCAACCGAAAGCTGATGCCCGGTTGCCAGGGTGGCAGCCCGCTTTTAAAAGTTCCTGCTGAGCCCTGATCCCTATCAAACACATCTGCCAATGATCTCAACTGTCTCCAGGCTTCAATCCTCAAATAAAAGCCAACCTGCACATATTGGGATAAATGATGATGATGCTTGTGAGCCGGCATATACAAGCCTCATTATCCCCGTTTATAAAAGGAGGACCATGCTCTCCAACAAGGAAACACCCACAACCTGTTAACATCTGTTCAGTGCCCTCTTAAGGAAGTAGTTGATACAGTACAGCCCATAATAAACTCCTCCCTAGTGAGTGGCTATGTTTGAGTATTCTGTGATTCAACATTTAATGAAACCTGGAGAGATAATCTAAGGCATTTCAGGCTGTACCAAAGTATTGATTCAAATGTTTATTAGGCGTTCAATTTGAACACCTCAGAGCGGTTTGTTTCTTATCTACAACATAGACTTTTGTGCTACTGTCTCTTGTGTTACTCCAAAGTTATATTTACTTTGCATTAAACATGCCTCTGCTGGGATCAGTTTATAAAACATTCCTTATCAATGCTACGCTGACGACGTGCTGCTATATTTCCCCTAAAAACCAAACCAAACACATATTATTGAGTCTTTTCTAAGTTGACTCGAGGATGCCCAAGATTCTCTCCATCTTAATAAGGTGGTTGAGACATTTTGATGATGGAAGTAAATCTATCTAATCTAATTTCTTGGGATTATCTTCAAATGCTTCACATCCCTAAAATCTGTACAACCTAAGCTAAAAGGTTATGGAATTCAACAAACCACAATAATTGTTTTAAGTAATGAATTATTAAATAGTAAAATATATCTGACTTTTAAATCTGTCATCAAATTTGAATAGAGATACACAATATACATATTCTTTCTTGAATAATTAAAACTTTAGAAACATGAACAGAATATTTTTCAACAGAACGAACGTAATTTGAGCCATTTTTTTAAAATATTTGACACTGTAAAGGCGTTGATAGTTTCATTATGTTCCGTACGTAACGTGAGGTAATGATAGAAGCCTTCTGCTGCGAAAAGACTGAACGCTTGAGCCGTTATGGTTGTTATTTTAGAGCCATTTAAACTATTTCAATAATGCAAAGAACAATATCCCGCGAGAGCTTTTTAAAGGGTCAGACTGTGGAACATTTTACTCCTCGCTGTCAGTTCCATCCCATCTATCACATATTTAAAATTCCATATTAAGACACACCCTTTTAGAATTCCCCTTCGTAACTATAAAATCGCTTTAGTTCAAACTGTTACAGCTTGTTACCTTTTCAGTTCTGCAAAGGTTTTGATGTATTTTACATTTTTCCAGTAAAGGTCAACACTTATTTTGTAAATGTACAAACCACAGTGAACTGTAGGGGGCAGGCTGAGCTGTGTGTCCCGTATGAAGACATGACTGGTGTAAATGTAACCAGCATGAGTCGGTGAGTGTAAAGGAACCATAAAAATAAAGTGTTGAGATGTACCTCAGTCTGTATGTTGGGGACCGACCCCGTGTTGCCATTGGCGATAGCCGAGTAGGAACTGTTGGGACTGCTGGGACCAGAACCTGGAGCGCTGTTACAGAGAGAGGAGACTGGTCGAGAGACAAAGAGAGAGAGAGAGAGAGAGAGAGAGAGTTAACTCATGAAATCCAAATTACACATTACACTAAACACACTATTACTGTGATTTTATGACTGTTTGCAACCTCGCGCTTCTTTCAGAATGCAGAACACTGTCATGTGCAGCATTGTGTGTGTTCACCTGATATCTCTATGGCTCTCTTCTTAAAGGTGCTGATAACGGTTCCATCCTTCCTGCGGAGGAGCGGAGAGCTCCGCCTCTCTGCCACCTTCTGCTTCAATCGTGAACGCACCTTAAGGTTGGGCTCCGAGACTGGAGACAGGGGGAGAGAGAGAGGGGGGGGGGGGGGGGTGAAAACAGCTCAGCTCGGTGCCAAAAAATGTGTTTCCGTGCAATTAATTGGCACTAGGGCTGGGCTATATGTACTGATATACTGTTAGATTTTGGATAACCCATTATTGTTATATAAGTGTTGTCTTTTCCTGTTTTTTCTAGGCTGCATTACAGTAGAATGATGTCATTTTCTGAACTTACCAGTTCTATTATTTGCCTTTACGCACTCAGTCATCATATCCACATTGTTGCTGATTATTTATCAGAAATCTCATCTAAAATGTAGATATTTTGTAAAAGCACCAATGGTCAACCCTACAATATCGTCCTAATACCGATAGTGAGGTATTTTGTTACAAATACTCCGATTTCTTTTCTCCACATCGCCCAGACCTAATTTACACGACAATATATTTGTTCAAACCTTTGTCATTTCACACAGAATGTAAATATTAAGGTGCAGAAAAAAAGCGACGTCTGTTTTTTCTGGAGCCAAGTAGATTTTTCGTAGCTTCAACATTGCGAATAAAGGCATCAACCAATCACGTTATTCGGAACAGATATTTTCAATAGGTAATCTTATGTAGTACGGAGGCTCCGTTGTCCGAGCCAAGAAGGCAAACTTTATTCCTCCTTTCAACATCGGCAAAGGCAGCGCAGATCAGATCCCCTTCTTCCGTTCTTACCTTTCACAACAAAAGCCCTAAACATATACACTGCGTGACTGTAGCTTTTAATCTCGTGTTATTTGTTTCATTCCCTTTTCAAGGGCAGGGTTTTGCTCGGCAGAGTATTTGGTGGGGGGTATTTAAGGCGCCTGGTGATTTGCCAACAGGAGACTATCGGAGAGCAGGCTGTCTTGGTAAATCCTACATTACATTTTGGCCGGCTGGCTGGTTTGCTGGATGAGCAGCCACAGCAGGTGTATTTTAAGGTGGCTTTGGTCTAAAAGTCAGGGTTGAGGGCAAAGAGCAGCAAGAGGGGTAAAAAAAGCATCTAGGTTTTATTGGTTTGAGCCACCTGAACAGCTTCCAGCGGTCCTAAAAGCTGGAAAAGCTGGATGTTTTATCACTGCTTACCTATGGACTATGTGGGATCAGGGCGGCCAATGATTGATCTATCTTGAACATGTCTATGAGTTAGAACCATTGACTGTATATAAGGAGTGAATGTAGTCATCGTGACATCACCCATTGCTTTGTGGACTGCCGTTTTGAAACATCGAGTTTGTTCTTGGATTTTTGCAACCAACGAATGGAAGTGACCGTATTTGGATTGAAGAGGACTTTTGAGACCATAAACTCATGTTTACTATGTTTACTGAGGTAATATATCAAGTGAGAAGTAGAGTCATTTTCTCATAGACTTCTATACAATCTGACTTCTTTTTGCAATCAGAGGAGTCGCCCCCTGATGGCCATTAGAGAGAATGCAAGTTTAAGGCACTTCTGCATTAGCTTTACTTTTCAGAAGCGAAGGTTGCCGCCTGGTTAGAACTGAAACAGTGCTTGTGTGTGTGTGCGTGTGTGTTCCCTTTAGGTTTGGGCTAGCTCTTCCCTGGTGAGTCAGACTCACACTGACTCACACATACACACACATATATATATACAGTATATAACATAAACACACCACACTCCACCTCCGCAAAATCCTTCGTCAGATAACTTTTTAATGGCAAAGGGACAAATCATGCACGCATGCACACACACACATGCACACACACACAGACACACACACAAAAACACATATCCTCCCACTGTCTGCATCCGTCTCCTACCTGTCTTGCGGAGCGGGAAGTCGTCTTTGCCCTCGTAGTTCCCCAGCAGCGGGGGCAGTTTGTAGGAGGGAGGAGTTCCTGGGGTGTTGCTCTGCGGAGGAGAGCCCTGATCCAGGGAGATGTGCTGGGCTCCCCTGCACACGCGCACACACACACACACACACACACACACACACACACACACACACACACAGAAACAGGAGGAGAAAGCAAATTAGGCGGCCGCTAAGTGTCATTTTCTCCACTTAACTTAGTCGTTTCCTACATTTCCTAGAATGCCTCTCCTGTTATTTCCTGTTGCTGTGGAAATATTTTTGTATTGACGTTTTATTTCTCAACGTTGGTTCAAAATGGATTTGGGGAAAAAGCTTTGCGAGGACCGACACAAAACCTGACGTTTTCTTCCTGTAGGGACTGTTGAAATGAACTGGACGTGACATCGTGTCTTTTCTGGCCCTTTTCAGACATGGAATATATTACTGTTAATGTATTTTTTTGTCATTCAAACATAAGGAAAAAAGTGATAATTTTGTATTCATTATTTATTATGTATTTGTCAAGCCACTATCAGTATCAAATCGCTCTTACATGGCAAAAAAATGATCTTTCAAGGCCAAAAGTAAAAAGTACGATGGTGCAAAATATTAAAAATAATTGCGGTGCTAGGGGAGGTGAGTAATATTTAGAGAAAAAAACATTCCTGAGATTAAAGTCACAAATCTACGACAAAAAACATGGATGTTCTCTGAGATCAAAGTGGTAAAATGATGTGCCTCATAACACGAACAGGGATCTTCAGTGAGAACAGACTGTGTCATCTATTTAATAAAGGATATCTCAACCGAAATGACAACAGGTACAGTTTAATATTTCCAGTCCCTTTTTCTTTCTTTTCTTTTTTCAAATAATAGCAGGGCTATACTATCGGAGGGTTAAATTTATATTGTGGGGCATTTCCCAAAAGATGGGACATTACAGAAATGTGCAATGTGTGCAAGATGTGGCACTTTTATAGACTATCAAATGATGTGTCATCAGAGCCAAATCACCTCCTGTCTTAATTTACATATAGGTTACAGTTATGTCTAAAGCAACTCGAGTGACCCGCTAATGTTTACTTACGGTCTAACTGACGCATTTGAATTAGTGTCGCCGTCAAATACTTGCATATATATATATATATATATATACTGTATAAATACACGTATAGAGACCAATTTTGGAAAAGTTACCAATCGACATAATTCATGTTCGTAAAAAAATTGGTGCTATTTTTCAGCATTTCGACTCTGATATTTTAAAGGGTGTGACGTAATGTCTTCAGTTCCCACTTAGGAAATGATTGACGGCAAAATAAAGCGGTAAAATATTCTAAATATAGCGTACAAACCTTAACTGATTTTGATATTTTTTCTGCGGCAGTACCTCGCTTTGCTCCTGTGCTGGTCCTCCCATCTATGTATAAGTACCTCATACAACCCCACTTCGAAAAACATCTGAACTGTCCCTTTAAGCCTGGGGCCAGACTACACAACCGTGCTGAAGGGACACTGTTCACCCCAGGCAATGAGGAGGGATCACACACTCTGATCCGGGACTGAGAAACAGTTTTCACTTTTGTAACTGGAATCGCTAAATAACTGCTAGTACAGAAGACGCAGCTTAAATTCACATTAAGAAAATATATACATTATATTTATTTATTTCCAAAAACAAAATCCTCACCAGCACTTTGGGGAGAAGGAATGGTTCAGTCCGCCGATGCCGGGCTCTTTCTTATTGAGAAGGAACTCCTGCAGCTTCAGCTTCACCTCTGTACTGGCGATGGCACCTTCAGGGGAAACAGAGCACATCACAAGAGAGTGAGGGGCGGTGGGGCGGGGGGGGCTTCGGCGTCTCTGTGCCGATGTCTCGTGGGTGGACAGCGGTGGCGGCGTCACCTACTCTCTTTGCCCTTCTCCTTGTTCCTCAGCAGCAGCAGCTGCTGCTCCAGCCGGTGCTTCTCCTGCTCCTCGTGCCTCTGCTGCTCCAGCTTCCTCTTCTGCTCCAGCTCCTGCTGCCGCTTCGCCGCCAACAGCTCCTGTTGTTGCTTGCACACACACACATGCACACGCACCCACACACACATTCACATTTTACTGAAGTGACGAGGAGAGAGGGTTTTTCCGACTAGTAAGCCTGCGGCCGGGGGGTTGTCGGGGAGCGACCGAAACACGCAGATGCCTACCTTCAGGTGCTCCTGCAGCTGGACCTCATGTTGCCTCGTGAGCACTTCGTGTTTCTTCTGGAACTCCGCGAACAGCAGCTGCTTCTGGAGCTCCTGCTGCTGCTTGAGGAGCACCAGTTCCTGCTGGAGCTGCTGCTCCCTCATGGCCGTGTCCACCGCCGCCGCTGCGCCCCCAGACAGAGACCCCACCCTGGGCTCGGTCCGCAGATCCACTGGGCCTCCTCCTCCTCCTCCTGGGCCTTCTCCTGGACCCCCACCTGGAAAAAAAGACGAGAGGTCGTCTTTATTTATCCTGAACACGTTGTTCTGTTTGCTTACTTCACTTTGTGTTCTTATATCGGTGGAGTTACCCTTTAAGGAACTCTTGACTCCCTACTCACCTCCTTCTCCGCCTCCTCCTCTCTGCTCGCCTGCTGTTCCGACTGGGCTCTGCATGCCCGATGGGAGGCTGCTCTTCACCTCCACCACTGTGGGACAGACAAACAGAGAGAGAGACAGACCGATTGATTAGTCCGGACAATGTTGTCAGACTATTACATCACTCGATCCACACGCACACACACACACACACACACACACAGGCAGTTCCCGTTTCATTCAGATGAGATGTGATAGCGTTGTAAGAGAAGAAGAACCCAACGTGCTGCCACCCTAAAAATAGCCACAAGACGAACATTAGCCTAGCATCGATTTAGATTCACCCAAGTGTTACTATTAGCAACACTCGGCTTTAGCTAATCCAATATTCAGCGTGGCTAGGCTAAACCAGGCAGGAACCTCCGCTTCTAAAAAAAGTGACACCAATGCAATAGTGCCTTAAATCTGCATTCTCTCTACTGACCAGCAGGGGGCGACTCCTCCGGTTGCAAAAAGAAGTCAGATTATATAGAAGTCTATGAGACAATGACTCTACTCAGTAAACATTGTAAACATGAGTTTATGGTCTCAATCTCTAGTTTCAAGTCTTCTTCAATACAGCATGATGTTCATTTAGTAAATGATGATCCATTTAGAGTCAAATAAACCATAAAGCAGGGTATGCTTTAGGGCGGGATTACTTTGTTATTGACAGGTCGCTACCAGAGCCGTATACGGCGTCTCTACGTTACTCTTCCACAGTCCAAATATGGTCAGTTCTGTTCCCTGGTTGCAAAAAAACAAGATGGCGACCGCCAAAAAGCCAAATTTCAGGCTCGAAAACCGCAGTCCACAAACCAATGGGTGACGTCACGACGACTACGTCCACTTCTATTATGCAGTCTATGGGCTAATCCAGTGGTTCTCAAAGTGGGGTCAGTGGCACTTTGTCGGGGGGTTTGCTAAATAATTTGCCAGGAATTATAGAATTGTGCTGTATTATTAAAACTGTGCCCATCTACCATTTGTGCCAATAAAACAAGCATATAGTCTCCGTTACGCCCACTCACGTTAGCTTTGGACCAACAGAAACTCCGCTGTGATTGTGACACGCAGCAGTAAGTTCATTATTTTTAAGTTGAAGCACTTACAGAATGTCAGCTGCAGACGAGTTAGTTTAAACATCTGGATTTATTTGGACTATGCTGGTCCTGCTACTGTTGGACTATAAATGCTGTCAAGATGAGTCCAAATGCAATATAAATAAAAACAACCTCTTTTTAAAGTGACAATCTTCAAGATTCTCATTCCGATAAATGTTTGTTTAGTCACTCATCTATTGCTGGAGGAGGTAACACAATGGTGAGGAAAGCATTGCAAGATTTATATATTTGCTGTATTACCAACTGTGGCGACATGCCCGGGGAAAAAATGCTGTATTACAGTTTTCTTTGAACTATGCACCCAATTCTGAGAAATAGCATGTTCGTATGGAATTTTTCGGAAGCAGCCCAAGACTCCAGACTGCAATACTCCATTGTTTTCATTCAAATACAAATTAGGACTGAAATCTTAAGGATCGACGCTTTAAAAAGGTACACAAGTTGCATATTTCCCGTGGGACTAATAAAAGATTACATTAATGCATCTTATCAGAACATGATTCAAATTGAAATGTCTGTCCGTTTATCACCATGAAGTATCACTTATAGTTGGTAAGTTTTATAATACGAGTAGTTCCAATAGCATCTAACAGTACAAACGCTAGTAAGCATACGCATAATAGGTGTTATGATTAAGAGGGTGGGGGGGGGGTGTTCTCCTTTTTAAGGGTCCCTAGCCCAAAGATGTCACAGGACTAAGGACACAGGTAAATGTTAACATGTGTCAGAGAAGCCTGCTGTCATCTGTAGCTGAAAGTTGCTCGGTGTTGCGCCGTCTGGTGCTGATCTGGATTTGGGGGTCGACACTCGAGCTAATCAGCGTGACGGATTGAAAGGGATTTCCTGCAGCGGGCGCCAGAGTAGCGCTGGCTGACCTTTTGGAGCTCGTGAAACGAAATGACGCGGGAAAGACGCGATCGTTTCAAATCTTCATCGACTTCATTGAAGCTTTCGACCCATGAAGTGTAGCGTTTCGGGGGGGGGGGGGGGTCCTGCTTTTGTGTGGACACCTGCAGGTTAAGTGGGTGTATTTGATAGACGGTGAATTCAAAAAAGATACGGTATGTTTTGGAACTTGAATATGGACTATTGTTTGCATATTTGATTATATTTTGTATCATGTATAATGCAGGATTCTCTGTATGTCTCCATTGTGATGTATGCTTCATTTTTTCTTTCATTAATTCATTCATTTTGTTGCGCTGACTTCTTCACCACGCACACTTTTTCCATCTACCTTTATGAAGGTTATAGTTTCTTCATTGCACCACACAAAAGCCTGTCTCTTCAGTAGACGTTTAAATCCACACAATTATAATATTATAATTTCGATTTTTATCGATACACAAATTTTTCAAACTCTACAAACCTCTATTTTTCCCCGCTCAAATTTTTGTTACATAATAGAAAATGCATATAAGATAAGACAAGAAGATAAGAGAGAAATGCATTAATCCCGAAGGAAATTCTTGTGCCAGAGTTTCATAAAAGATTTCAACAGAAGAATAGCAAAAAAAAAAAACAATAGAGGAGAAATATAAACACATACGAACAATAGAATAACAATAATTAAGTGTAAAAGAAATAATACCGACACCATTGGAAAAATAGAACACAATAGCAATAAGAGTACGGTCAAATAAAGTAAAAAATTCAACTACAATACAAAAAGTTAAATACAACAACAAAGAAGAGTAAAAAATATAAAGTGTATAAGAAGTGATACTAACACCAGTGCCTGATGGAAATTAAAATAGAAAAGCAATATTAAGCATGATGTTGGATGGAAACACACTTTCTGTGTGCGGTTGTTTAGCTTTTTACGGCATCAGTGTATGTGTAGCTACAATGCTAGCACTCAGATAGGAAGCTCCCCTATCAGCTTAGCTGCAACATGTTAGCACACTGCCTGATAGACAGACGGGGGAGGGGGAGATGTGGGTGTGGGTGGGCAGGGGGGGGGGGGGTTCTTGGAATCCCATCGACATGCCCTTGAGCAGGGCAGTGACCCCGACCTGTGCCGACCGACTACGCTCTCCTGGCCTCGGCTGACCAATCCCCCCCCTGCTATTAGATCAGTGTCGGGATGTCAGGAGGATATTACCCGTCTGCTCGCCAAGGAGGAAATCCAATCAGGAATTACCTACTGTGTAGTCTGACCTACGACCTTTACATACGGAGGCATCCTGTTGCTTTGGCGCATCCCTTTACATTCTGCTCCTGCGTCCCACGTGGGTCCAAAAGCTGATCAAAACATCGACACCCGCAATTAGGCCGAGCTCATTAGCCCCGTGAGGGGAGGATCGTGACGACAATCTGACCTCTGACCTCAGAGAGAGAAACACGTACTAATCAAATCCCTCATCACAGCTTATTTCTGTCTACATCTTGCAGAATGAAGCGACTACGTTGCTCTTACTTACACACACACACACACACGTTCGACAAAGCAGCACAGGTTTTTTTGGTTCGTAACTGTTTGGTTGGTTCAGTCACTGCGGCCGTTTCCAGAAAAAAAAGTTTTTAAAAAGTCCCAAAACTGAGAGTAGAGGATAAATAAGTCAGTCAGTGTGTGTGTGTGTGTGTGTGTGTGTGTGTGTGTGTGTGTGTGTGTCTGTGTGCAGCCACTCACATCTAAATTACCTAAACAAATATTCTGGTGTTTCACTGTGACGCACGTGTCTCCCCTTTCCACTACAGCACACACACTGTCCCTGTGTGTGTGTGTGTGTGTGTGTGTGTGAGTGTGTGTGTGTGCATACGCGCAACGGTCCGTTTTGGCAAGAGAGCAGCATTCCACAGCAGCCAGCGTCTGACGTCAAACCGAATACATTTATAGTCTGGTAAACACACGCACACGCACGCGCACGCACACGCACACACACACACGCACGCACACGCACACGCACGCGCGCGCGCGCGCGCGCGCACTTGACGCGCTGTCTGACAAAGAGGCAACGTTTCAGTCAATCATGCCGGGATCTAACCGACTGAAGCTCGCTGCAGTTACACATTCCAGCGCCCGGGGCGGGACGCAGTGGAGAGAATGAAAGACGGACTGTTTGTCCACAGCCAGTGAATCCTGGTACAAACAGATTTTATTATTCCGTTGGTGCTAATATGACTCAAAACTCAAAATCATGACGCTTTTTCGCATAGTTAGCTAAAACTGATGAAGACTAATAAGGAAGCACAGATTATAATATATATGAGTGGACTTCCTCCTTGAACTGCTACCAACACTTCTGCTACAATCATTTCTATTTCTAATCAATTTGACACCGGCGACGGACCCCTGTTGACTCCCCGGGTTGCAGCTCTGTCCAACACTTTCAGTAACTTATTTTTTCATGTTCCAACTTCTGCCTTAGACAGGAACGCTACCGCTACTTTTATGGGTCCACTAAGTTTGGAATACACTCAAGAAGAAGAAGTTAACGACCAAAGAACAAAAGGAAAGCGGTCCACCTAAAAACACTGAAACTGATCTCAGCAATGAACTAAGCCAGGAAGATTGGGAACTTAACAAAACCACAACTGTTCTAGCAGCTAACCGGATTTCGTTTTAACCTAAATCTTGACTTTGCTCTTTTATCCGTTTCTTCTGATTACGTTAACCATGTATAGCCATCGTCTGTCTGTTACAAAGATGCTGCACCGAGTGCTGATTGTGAAAAACTGGTTCATAAAGACAGAAGACAGAGGTGTGTAGTTTGATGTCCAGTTCAGAGGACTTTTCACTCTTTGTACCCCTGTTTCTCTGATCTCACACAGCTGCTGCTGGGAGGTATTTCTGGAAACCAATATTCGTCTTTTCACTTCTCTCTCTCTCTCTCCCTCCCTCCCTCCCTCCCCCCGCCCCCCCCCCCTTGTCTTGTTCGGTCTGCGCCGCTAAAAGAAAATAGGCACTATGACACCAGCCCTGCAAAACACTAAAAAAAGCCAGA